TCGGATGGCGGGGAAGAAGAACAAACTGGGGAGGAGGGTAGAGAGAATGGTCCAGCAATGAAGGAATGAAAACCCAAAATCCCTGTAAATGTTCATTAAAACTAATAAAATTTAATAAAAAAATTCCTGAGCACCACAGCAAGATAAAGATAAATAACCCAACTGAAAAATTGAAACAGGATATGAACAAACAGTTCACCAAAGAAGACATTCAGAAGGCTAACAAATACATGAAGAAATGTTCAAAATCCCTAGCTCTAAGAGAGATGCAAATCAAGACAACTATGAGATATCATCTGACCCCAGTCAGAATAGCAAAATTTAACAGAACAGCAAGCAACAATGCTGGCGAGGTTGTGGAGAAACTGGAATCCTCATTCACTGTTGGTGGAAATGTAAAATGGTTGCAACCACTGTGGAAGGTGGTGTGGCACTTTCTCAAAAAGTTGCAAATAGAAATACCATTTGACCCAGCAATTCCACTACTAGAAATATACCCCAAAGAGACCATAACTGACATTCAAGCAGATATATGCACATCCATGTTTATTGTGGCTTTGTTCACAATAGTACGGAGTTGGAAACAACCTAAGTGCCCATCAACAAACGAATGGATAGAGAATTTGTGGTATATTCACACAATGAAATACTACGCTGCATTGAAAAACAAGGAACTCATGCAATATTATTCAAAATGGGTGACCTTGGAGGACATTATGCAGAGTGAAATCTCTCAGTCACAAAAGGACAAATACTGTATGCTGCCACTATTAAACAGGACTGACATCGGGGTTGGGGGGAGACTAAGAAAGACGGGTTAAATAATGTATTAAATCAGATGAGGGAGAAAAATGTTTAAAAGGGATATGTGATTAGATATTTTTGTCATGACAGGAGTCCAGAGCAAAGGCTGGATAGTGGAGTGAACCAAGGCGAGGGATTCTGAAACAATGAAAGAATTTTTCTTTTACTTTTCCAAGAGGGTAATGTACTAGCGGGGCTGAGAGGGGAGAAGAATGTAACAATGAATGAATGGAAATTAAAAAAAAATATAAATACTGTATAATGCCACTGTTATAAAACAGGACTGACATGGGGGTTAGGGGAATACTAAGAGGTGATACATAATGTATAGGACATTGAAACAGACAAGGGAGAGAACTGTATAAAAGGAATATATGATTAGGTATTATTATCATGACAAGAGTCCAGAATAGGAGCTGCACAGTAAAGTAGACTGGGGGGGGGGAGGCTGTACAACAATAAAATAATTTTTTTTCCAAAGGAAAAAAGTGAACTTGGTGGGGGGACAGGGAGGAAAATGTGCAACAATGAATGAATGGAAATCCAAGTTCTCTATAATTTTCATCAAAAAACAAAACAGAAGTAGCAGCTTTGAGAGATAAACACTCTATCCAGAGAAGATCAAAGCTTTTGGTTTTTAACAAAATGGCTCCCAATCCTGAAATAGAAAACATTTCTTAACTACAAATAAATTCATATTTTATCTGCTGTTAGAAATGTTCACACCCTCAAACAAGGGCAGGAACTGTCAGCCGCTTCACTTTTAAAAGGATGGTAAATATTTTTGTTCTTTAATTTTAATTTTGAAATTTATTTTGGGGGTATTCCCCTCTTAATTCTTTCTTTGAGGTCATTTACCTTGTTTGTTTCCTGATATGTACCAAATATATGAAGAAGTTCTGCAAGAATTAATCCCAAGGCAAAGATGTCCACTTCATCTCCATAGTTATGTTCAGACATCTGAAGAGAACAAAGTGCTTTATTACAACCTGTGTTACATATTCTATTAAATGTTCTTCTGAAGCCCAAAAACTTATTCTACCAGAATATTTTGTCACACAATAATGTATGTTTGTTAATAAGAGGTGTAGAATTAAACTTCAAATCACAGAGCTGCCACCATTAAAGTGGAGGATAAATGTGAGAATAACCTTAACCGTCAGAAGAAGATAGCAAGAGTGTTGACCTCATGGTAGGACTAAATGAGATACAGCATGTAAAGCACTGAAAACAGTGGCTAAGGCTCAGACTTGTTGCTGCATAGAGGTGGTGCTGGTCCATAGCAGCCTTACAGGGCAGAGGACAGCTGCTCTAGATAGTGTCTAATGCTGGGATCGTCATGGGACTGCCTGCCTTATCTTCCTCCCACGGAGCAACTCTGAGTTCAAGCTACCAGCCTTCCAAGTAAAAGTCAAGTGTGTTTAAAATCATCCTGTCACCGGGGCCTCAACTTAGTGTGAACTGACTCATAACTACTCATAGTACTGATAGCTCTGGTACTCAGAGGCTGTACATCACACAGGATGAGATTGTCCATCTTTCTCCCATAGAACAGCTGGTGGATTTGAACTGCTTGCCTTTGGGATGATAGCACAACTCCTTACCATCTAAGCCACCAGCATTCCCTCACCAGTATCAAGCTTGGTTAGAATATTTAAACCAGAACCTGGCATAGAGTAAGTACCCAAAAAATGTTAAGCATTATAATTTCTGGCCAAGAAAGCTAGATTATATATAATATATAAAAAACATTGATTCAAATATTTATAAAGCAGGAAATTAATATATGGAATTGTTGATAATGTTATTGGGTGCCACTGAGTACGACTCATAGTGGCCCTATGAACAAAAGATTTGAACTCTGTTCTATTCTGCAGCAGCCACCATGTCAAATCCACCTGGTCGAGGGTCTTTCTCTCCTTCGCTAACCCTTCACCCTTCCGAGTATCATGTCTTTCTCTATGGAATAGACCTCCTCCGAGCAACACGCCCAAAGTATGTGAGGCAAAGCCTCATCATTCTTGCCTCCAAAGAGCACTCCAGCTGTACCCTCTCCAAGATATATTTGTTTGATATTTTGGCTGTCCATGGGATGTTCAGTGCTCTTCTCCAACACCATAGCTCAAAGGAATCAATTCTTCTTCTGTCATCCTTATTCATTGTTATTATGTGCCGTTGAGTTGTTTGTGACTCATAGCGACATTATGTATAAAACCTCTAAAGCCTGCTTTATCTTGAGCCACCTTATTGTCTCTGACACCCCCTCCCCCCATTACTCCAGGCACTGAGTCAATCCATCTCATCCAGGGTCTTCCTCTCCTGTACTGTCTCTCCACTCTCCCAAGCATGACGTCCCTCTCCAAGGACTTATCCCACTTTGCAACATGTCCGAAGTATGTCAGATGAAGCTTCAGTAGCCTTTCCTCCAAGGAGCAGCCTGGTTTCACCCTCTCCAGGACAAACTTGTTTGTTCTCCTAGCAGTCCATGGTATACTCAACACTCTTCTCCAGCTCAAAATTGCCAATTCTCCTTCTCTCATCCCTAATCACTGGCCAGCTTTCTAATGCATAGCAAGTAATTGCAAAGCCCATGGCCAGAATCAGATGCACCTGAGTCTCTAGATTTTTATCGCTGCTCTTCAGTATTCTGGAGAGGACCCTGACAGCAGATTTTCCCAATGCAATTAGTCTTTTGATTTCCTAGCTGCTGGTACCAAGAGTCTTGACTGTGGAGCCAAGCAAACTGAAGCTGTTAATAATCTCAATCTCTTTACCATCTATCATGATACTGCCAATTAACCCAGTGGTGAGAATATTTGTTTTCTTGATGTTGAACTTCAATCCATATTGAAGGCTGCAGTCCTTGACCTTCTGCAGCAAATGCCTCAGGTCCTCTTCAGTTTCAGAAAGCAGTGTTGTGCCATCTGCATAATGCAGGTTGTTGATGAGTCTTCTTCCAATCCTGATGTCACATTCCTCCTCATAGAACCTAGCCTCCCAGATGATCTGTTCCACATAGAGATTGAAAAGGTATGGAAGAAGGATGCATCCCTGGAGTACACCCTTTCTGATTTTGAACCATGCAGTGTTTCCTTGCTCTGTTCTGACGACTGCCTCTTGGTCCAAGTATAGGTTTCGCATTAGCACTATCAAGTGTTCTGGGATTCTCATTCTTCTCAGAGTCAGCCACAGTTTGTTGTGATCCACACAGTCATTGTACGCCTTTGCATTGTCTATTAAACACAGATCAACATTCCTCTGATACTCTCTACTTTCAGCCAAGATCCCTTTAGCATTAGCTATAACATCCTTAGTACCATAGCCTCTTCTAAACCCAGCCTGCACATCTTTCTGTTGATGTGCTGCTCCTGTCATTTTTGGGTAATTTTCAGCAGCATCTTGCCTGCATGTGATATTCATGATATTGTTTGATAATTTCTGCACTCTTGTTTGTCACTTTTGGAATAGGAACAAATATGGATCTCTTGCAGAAAGTTGGCCAGGTTGTTGTCCTCCAGATTTCTTGGCACAACTTGCCGAGTTCATCCAGGGCAGTGTCTGTTTGTTGAAATGTCAATTGGTGCGCTGTCAATTCCTGGGGGCTTGTTTTGAAAAGGTCCCTAACTGCAGATCATCCCAGTGCAATATTTCCTTAATTCTTGACTGCTGGTGCCAAGGGTGTTAATTGTGGATCCAAGGAAGATGAGGTTGTTGACAGTTTCAATCTCTTCTCTATCCATTATGATATTGTCCATTGGTACAGTGGTGAGAATCTTTGTTTTCTTGACAATGAGATGCAATCCATATTGAAGGCTGCATTCCTTTTTTTAAAAAAATTATTATATTTTTATATGTGTACTGTCAAATCGGATCTGACTAGTACAGGAGGAGATTGTCCCTCCTTCTTCAGCAGAGCATCTGGTGGATTCAAACCATGCACCCCTGGGATTGCAGTGCAGCTTCTTGTGACTAGGCCACCAGAGCTCACTGAAGGCTGCATATTTTGATCTTCTGCAACAAGTGCTTCAAATCCTCCTCACTTTCAGCAAGCAAGACTGTGTCATCTCCATAACACAGGTTATTGATGAATCTCCCTCCAAACCTGATTCCACATTCCTCTTCATAGAGTCTAGGTAAATAAAGCACAAATAGACACTCTTCTGGTATTCTTTACTTTCAGCCAGGATCCACCTGAAATCAGCAATGACATCCTTGGCACCATGGCTTCTTCTAAATCCTTCCTGAACTTCTAGCAGCTTCCTATCTCTGTACAGTCCTAACAGTTTTTGAATGATCTTCAGCAGTATTTTACTTGCATGTCATATTAATATTAATGATATTGTTCAATAGTTTACATATTCAGTTAGATCACCTTTCTTGGGAATGGGAACAAATATGGACCTCTTCCAATCCATTGGCCAGACAGCTGTCCTCTCAATTTCCTGGCATAGACTCGTGAGTGCATTCAAAGCTGTAGCTGTTAATTAAAACAAATCAATTGGTATCCCACCGGTTCCTGGGGCCTTATTTTTTTGTCAGTGCTTTCAGTGCAGCTTCCATTTCCTTCTTCATGAACATTGGCTCTTGTTCAAACAGTACTTTCTGAAATTCTTCAGTGCCGATCAGTTCTTTTTGGTACAGTAGTGATTCTCTCCATCTTCTTTTGATGCTTTCTAGGTCATTCAATATATTGTCCATATATTCTTTCAGTGTTGCAACTCAAGGTTTAAATTTGTTTTTCTGTTCTCTCAGGTAAGAAATACAGAGCAAGTTCTTCCCTTTTTATTCTCGAATTCTAGCTCTCTGCACATTCCATTATAATACTTTTTTGTGTCCTCCCAAGCTGCCCTTTAAAAGTTTCTGTGCAGCTCTTTTATTTTGGCACATTTCCCCTTTGTTTTGGCTTCTCGACACTCCAGTGCAATTTTTAGAGTCTATTCTGACACCCATTTTGATTTTTATTTCTCCTCTGTTTTTGTAATGACCTTTTGCTTTCTTCATGGATGATATCCTTGATATTATCTTAACTGTCTTCGACAGTATTCAATACCTCAAAACTATTTCTAAGATGATCTTGAAATTCAGATGGAATTGAATCAAGAAAGATCATATCTTGGTTTCTCTGAACTTATTTTCATTTTCTTTGACCTCAATTTGAACCTGCACATGAATAATTGATTATCTGAACCACAGGTCACACCTGGCCCAGTTTTGACTGCTGATATTGAGCTTCTCCAGTGTGTATTTCTTCCACAAATGTAGTCAATCTGATTCCTATGCAGCCTATCAGATGAGACCCATGTGTAAAGCTGTCATTTGTGATTTTTAAAAAAATGGATCTGCAAACGTAACAATGAATGACTGGAAACCTGAAGTCTCCGTAAACTTTCACTTAAATGAATTAAAAAATGCTTGATAAAGAAGAAAAAAGGTATCTGCAAAGAATAAATAATTTTAAATACAAAATGAGATCATTCTATTTCCAGCCTCATTTCTATCATCAAGGGTCCATAAGCAGCTGGTGGGTTTGAACCACTGACTTTTTAGTTAGCAGTCAAGTGCCTTAAATACAAAACAACAAGAGCCCCTATATAAAGAATATTTACAAGTTAATTAGAAGACAATGTAAGACAAACAAGCAAAGAATATGAAGAGAGCTTGTGATGAAAAGGGGGAGTTCTAATGGGGTGTACTCCATAGCAACTTGCCCTGCTAGCCTGTGGGTCTCGAGCAGTTCAAATCAACCAGCAACTTCGTGGGAGAAACATGGACAGTCTCCTCTCATTATGATTTACCGTCTCAGAAACCTGACAGAAGGGTACTGTGAGTCAGGACCAGGTGGACAGCAGTAAGATTTGGTTTTGAGTGATATGAAAAGACAGTTTGCCCTACTAGAAATCAGGAAAACGCAATTAAAATAGTAAGCCAAATATTTAAATTTTAATGTTCTGGTTTGGTTATATAGGAATGAGGAGAAGCATTTTCACACATGTTGGTGGAAAAGCATGTTAAAATAATTTTCCTTTTTCAAGGAGAGGAGCAAACGGGGGGGGTAAGGTGGGAGGGTGCGGGGAGAAGGATGCAACAATGAATGAATGGAATTCCAAAATCTCTGTAGATGTTCATTGAAATGAAAAATAAACAAACTAAATCATAAAAAAAATAATTTTCCTGAATCCTGTCTGGCAACATTTATCAAGTCTCAAATGGATTTGTCCTTCTATTCAGTAACTTCACCTCAAGGAACTGATCATTAGATCATCTTCACAGACATATCTGTTCTTGAGGCCAAAGAGGAGAAAGAATGTTTATTTTATCACTATTATAAATGCAAAAAAGTAGGAAAGAACATAAATAAATGCCCATTGTATCTCTATATTCTAGAATAAAACATCATGGGTAAAAAGAATGTTCTCTTTGCACTATACATTTGTATTTTTATTTTTTAGGTTTTAGGTATTTATTCAGGTGATACAATTATAGAATGAAACACTTTCAGCATTATAAAATCAATCTTTTTTGGTGTCTTTTTAAATTGAGTTTACTGCAACATTTATGATTCTGAAGAGTTTCTAGTTTTGCATGCGTTCAGGTCTTTTGGATGGTGTCTGATGTGATCACTAATGAAGGTTGTGATGAAGTAAAAGCTATGGTCATAACCCTCTTGCAATCTAAAAAGAACAGAGATTTTCTTTTCTGTACAGACAGCTATGGAGTTACCGGGAAGTAACTGCCTATCGGAAAGGGAATGGTCATCTTTTCCCTGATGAGTAAATATGTCCAGCTGAGAAGCTGGATAAGACTTTACAAGATGGGTAGCATCATAAGCCTTCCACTTGCTTTGATCTGACCCCATAATCTACCAAAGGCCTTTGTTGCCCCAAGAACAGAGCACTAAATTGCAAATTGGAACAAATGTTTGAACAGATTTTTGCCAGGATTCTTCAAAGTACAAATGAGAGCTACACGACCTCCCGTGGAAGGCCAAAATCAGACATAGTGAATCCACTGGAAAACTGGCATTTATGAGTGTAGGAATTTCTTGTGATATAAAGGAGTATGTTGTGTAGTGCGTTTTCCAAGGATTTTCAATGGCATTCACCTAAAACCCAGCACCAGTGCCAAAGTCACAGCTCTCAACTTCTTGAAAATTGCAGCCATGAGGGTTGGTATCTGAGGCAATGACCATAAAATCATGTGCTGAGGCTGCCTAGTGATAACTAGATTTGATATAAAATTCTATTCTGTGCAAGTCAAGCCAGATAGCCAATACAGTGCAGGACACTTTCCGGTTTCTGCCTTTTGGTGGTAAATAAGACAGAAAATTTCATTTTGCAGCTCAGTTGAATCAATACTGTCATATTCAAATACTTTCTGTAAGCCCCTGAAGCCCTTGTTGCTGGATAATGGTTTCATTACCATTCTTCTCCCATTCAACTGCCCCAAAGGGTATTTATCTGCTGGTGGCAGCCAGGAATATACATTTATATTATATAAAGATTGTTGAGCAAAAAAAAAAAATCACCAAAATAATATTATAGTATACCTGTAAAAACACATATTATTATGTAAAATATTTTACTATGCTACATATATTTGTACATTTTTTTAATTTATAGAGAATTTATTTAAAGCTATTTAAAAAACTGATAAAAGGAGTGAGAGTGGAGAGGAAGGTTAAGGGAAATTTCCTTATTTATTCTGTATATCTATGTATTTACAAGTACCAGCAATCAACTTCCATGCACTTTAAAACCTCTGAAAATCTGCTTGGAAGTCAGTTATGAATTGGTTCTAACTCAACAGCACATGACAACAGTATACTTGTGTATGGTACCAATTTTATAAGAACTGACTGTTATGCTTTTTAAGAACTTACTATTATTTTTATAATTTAAAAGGAAAGTCAAGAATCTAGAATCAGAAAGGAAGAAGGCCCTCACCTGTTCTGGGCTCATGTACATCCACGTTCCCCTTTCAGATGTTCGCTTTTCGTCATTTTTCAAAGATGTCACAAGTCCAAAGTCTCCAATCTTTATTTGTTTTGTATTTACTAAAAATATATTATTTGGCTAAAAGGAGAAAAAAAAAAAGATATAGTTGAACTATACATGCCAGTTTAACATGATTTCACCACATATCATGGTTAGAGATAACCATTTTTTTATTAGTTTATAAGCAAATTATTTATCATCTTCCTGTTTACAGTCTTGCTTCAAGGTGAGGAATTTTAAGTCATTCATTAAACTGTTTTAAAAGGTTTTTAAAACATCAGCTGAATAAAGTGAGAATTCCGTAGCTAGTAGCAGAGAAGGTTGTGGTGTCAAGTAGAAGGTGGAATGATTTTGTATGATTCCAGGGAATGGATTTGGGATAGAGGGTGGAAATAACAACATGAAAATCTGCACTTATATATCTAATATACTGAAAATAGCCCTGGTGGGCTTAGGAGGTTACATGCTGGGCTGTTATCTACAAGGTCGGTCAGCTCTCTGAACCCACCAGCACTAGTTGGCTCCACAGGCTCAGAAACCCAATGGAGGGCAGCCATTAATCAAAAGCACCACAGTGAGGTTACCCTCATTTCCTTTCTCTTGAAAGTTTTTAAAAAATATCCCAAAGGAGGCAGTGGTGATTCAAAGCGCAGAATTTTCACCAGCACAGGAGAGGAAGACCCTGGATGAGATGGATTGATACAGTGACTGGGGTAATGGAGGTAGGTGTGTCGGAGTCAGTGAGACTATCTCACAACGAGCAGGCTTCAGAGCTGTTGTACACAGGGTCGCTGTGAGTCACAGGCAAGTTGATGACACGCAACAATAATAAGTTATTATTTGCTAATTTCTGGCTAGTTTGATTCCTAGCCAATGCATCTCATGTGCCAGTGGAGGCTTCCATGTTGCTATGATGCTGAACAGAATCCCTGGCTGACTCAAACAGCAAGTGCTCAACTACTAGCTCAAAGGCTGGTGGTTTGAACCTTCATTCTGATCTGTTTCTGAAAGGTCACAGCCATGAAAATCCTCGGGGAAACTTCTACTCTACACATGAGAACAGCCATGATATTGAATCATCTTGACAGCAAGTCACCACAGTGATGTTGAACAGGTCGCAGCAGAGTTTCCAGACTAAAATGGACCAAGAGGAAAGGCTTGGCAATCCAGTTATGACAAACAGCCAATGAAAAAGCAATGGGAGGGAGTTCTGGTGGCCTAGTGGCAAGAAGCTGCACTGCACTCCCCAAGGTGAGCAGTTTGAATCCACCAGATGCTCTGCTGGAAAAGGAGGGGCACTCTCCTCCTGTATCAGTAAGATCCGATTTGATCGTACACACATAAAACAAAACAAAACCCGCAATGGATCACAATGATCCAATCCATAAGTGGTCATGGAGATTACCCAGGATCAGGTAGCATTTTATTCCATTTTTCCCACAGTCACCAGTTATCGGATGTTGACTCCATGGCAGCAAGCAACAATAACAGTAACTAATTGAATGGCTCAAAGAGCAGGAGTTAAAGAATTCCTCATGCCAGAGAGTAGACCAGGTGAATCTGCACACCCATCTGTTTTAGTTGGGTGGTTTTTCCCCTTTCGTTCTTGTTGTGTACTGTCAAGTCACAGGAGGAGATTTCCCCTCCTCCTCCAGCGGAGTTTCTGGAGGGTTTGAACCACGTGCCTTCAGTATTGCAGCGCTGACTGACTGTTTTAGACAGATGAAATATATACATACTGAAGGCTAGGAATCTACATGACCAAGACCCAGAAAGAATGAGTGTTTCTGCCTAGAAAAGAAAAAGGTGGATCTAGAGTGATCAGCAATGGCTCCATAAAGGAGCTGGTGACCAGAGTAGACACGTGGAAGAGTGCTCCATGTAAGGAGAACATAAGCAAAGGTTCAGGGATGGATGGATGCAGCCTGGCTCGTCTGTGACAAGAGTGGGTCGATCACAAGGAAGTGAAGAGCTGTCCTATCTCTCTTCTTTCATTTTGATGAGAAGGGAAAATGTGAACCTGTTGGTCTGACTCATGAAAGAAGCAAGGAGGCCAGAAGAAAAGGAAAAGACCTAAGAATGGAACAATAGTCCAAGATCTGTATTGCTGAGATTTTCCAAACTTGGAGGAGAAATAGCTAACCAAATGAAACACCAAGAAAATACCTGACTCTGGGCGTCACTGCTGTCACTGCCCGCAGGAGGGTGAGTGGATAGGTGGGAAACCACACGGTCAAGTCCACAGTCCTAACCAAGACCAATCCTACATGAGATGGATTGACTCAAGTGATGGAGGTAATGGGAGCAGTTGTGTCAGAGACAATGAAAGAGGTCCAAAATAGAACTGGGTTCAGAGCTGTTGTACATAGGGTCACTATGAGTCACAGGTGACTTGACAGCACATAACAGCAACAATAAACCATAACTGCAAGTATAGGACTTATCTGGATTTGTCAGAACTACTGAACCTGGAAAAGGAGAAGCTCCCAAATTTGTAGCCAGCAGAATAAAGTGAAGAAGATCTGAGATTTCCCAAACTTATGGTTGGCACCTGAAATCTTGAGCAGAACTGTCAGTGTGGAGGACTGTGCCTTTTAATTTGTAATATTTAACCTAAGTCATGGTAACAGCAGTCAAGAAAGCAAAAGACACGGTGTACTGGGGAAATCTGCAGTCAGAGTCCTCTCCAAAGTGCTAAAGAACAATGATGTCAGTTTAAAGATTAAGGTGCATGTGATCCAAGCTAGAGTATTTTCAATTCTTCTTATGCATCTGAAAGTTGGACAATGAATAAGGATTGCAGAAGAATTGATGCCTTTGAGCTGTTGTGCTGGAGAGGAGGACTGAATATTCCATGGACTTCCAAAAGAACAGACAAGTCTATCTTGGAGGAAGTGCAACCGGAGTGCACCTTAGAGGCAAAGACAGTGGAACTCTATCTCACATCCTTTGGGCATGTTGTCAGGAGAGGTTGGAACTTGGAAAAAGGCATTATGCTGGGAAATGTGGAGGGTCAAGGAAAGAGCAGAAGACCCTCAACAAGAATAACAGGAGAGGGGATTAATTATGGGGTTGTACAATTTGATGGGTGAGGGAAACTGGAAGAATCTGTTCTGGAAAACAATGTATTAGAATTTATTAGAATTCTGGAAATGAGAATAATAATAATAATTTTTTTTTAAAAAAAAGAACAATAGGAGACTGTGAGGATGGTACAGGTTATGACAAGGTTCAGGTCTATTCATAAGATGTGATGTATTCTAGTCGACTTGAGAGCAGGTAACAACCACTACCCAGCTGTGGTAGTTCCAGTCAGATGGAGGAGAACTAAACTTACAATTGACATCAGAGAGGACATTAAGTTTAGTGTTTGTGCAACAATTACTGAATGGAAACCCTAAGACTCTGTAAACATTCATTAAAATTAATTTTAAAAAATTTTTAGTGTTTGTTGGTGTGTGTTGGAGAAGCCACATAGACACCCAGTATCACTGCCACTGCTTCCATTTCACCTTACAGCTACACCACACAGGTCACAACTACCTCACACAGTTTTCAAAGTTGTAACTCTTTTTCTTTTTTAATTCAAAATTAATTACAGAAATGTCAACAAGTCATAAGTACATCACTATAGGGGTTCCACTATGCTTTCCAGCATGCATGACAGATCTGTACATCTGACAGGCAGATTGGAAAATTAAATCTATGAGAACAATAAATAAGGGATACATAAATATAAATACCAATGCTAAAGCATTAGGGCTGTCAAGGAAAAAAAAGTGCAGCCTGCAGTAATTTAATTTTACATTCCTGACTACAATGTAGTCTTCAAATTCTCTTGCAGAGCTTGACATAGCTCATTAAGATTTCTTGAGAAAGTCAGTTTGTCATATTTTCAGCAACCTTTAAAGTTTTAGCAGTCTTGCGAAGTTCCTTAATAACCAGTGATAAAGCTTCTGGGTTAATTCCTTGCTCACAAAGTCGTACACAAATAGACAGAGTTTCCATATCTAAGCCCATATTAAAAATTCTTGAAATCTCAAGTAGAATGTCCATGGTCTCCCTCACCGCATTCATATTGGCTGAGGCTCCAGGTGCCCCGGCACCACCACTACCTGCCATTGCTGCCACTGCTCTCTCCAAAGTTGTAACTCTTTACAAAGCAGACCGCCACATCTTCCCTCTGCAGAGTGGATGGTGAGTTTGGGCTGCCAATCTTTTAGCTAGGAGTCAGCATTTTACCACGGTGCCACCAGGGGAAGCTCCTGACAAGTGCATTTCCCATTTACCTTAAGATCTCTATGAATTAACTGTTTGGAATGTATGTAAGCCACTCCCTCCGTTATCTGCTCAAATATATCCAAAGCCAAAACTTTGTCGTGCTCCTTGCTTCTTCTGTCGTCAATCCATTGCGCCAATGTCCCTTCTTCACACAATTCCATTTGGATGAAAAGACAACGTGTCTTTGACCTGGATGTAAAATGCACAGAATATTAAAAGTAGTAATGAATAAATTTTTAAAAATGCATTTGTTCTTTTGTTATAATCTCAATGAACTCCCAGAGCAAGTATCAAAACAGCCTCTACTTGGAATATTATTGCTTTTTAATTTTTGACTCATGTACTTTTAACTTGTTAGTTAAATTTGTGTCTTCTAGGCTGCAACACTTCCATGATACATCTTCAAGGATATGAACATGTACGGCTAATAGTCTATGTGTTTCCTATTGCCAAAGGGGCCCTTTAGAGTAATGAGAGAAGATCTTCACCCTGAAACCTACAGTGTCCCTTTTCAGCAGGAAGTAGCTAAGAGAATACACCGTCCCCTTTTCCTTATGAATCAGGGTGAAGTCTCTCTCAGGGAGGAGTGATAGGGAATGGCAAAGGACACACTGACAAAGGAGATTAATCAGAACTGGTTTTGACAAGCACTGTGGCAACTGGACAATTAAAACAGACTTTCAAGGGAGAAAAAAAGAAGAAGAATGAACTGGGGAGGAGGGTAGAGAAAATAGTGCAACAATGAATGAATGAAAACCCAAAATCTCTGTAAATGTTCATTAAAATAAATAAAACTTAATAATTTAAAAAAAAGATCTCCACATAAAAATAAATTCTAATGAAAAATACAAGCCATGTTTCATTTAAATTAGAAGTTCTCGAAAGGTGAGAACTCTATGTGTTTAGATAATTTATGAAGTATCTGCTTGCCCATGTTTTAACGCTAAAAGTTGCTGGTCATTGTTGCTAACAGACGGAATAAGAGTATTAATCACAGTGGATCGCAGAGAGTGATCTTTGTTATATAAAGTAAATCTGAAACATATTTTAATTCACTGTCAGTCTACTAAAAATCTATTTTAAGGAAGGTACAGAACAGGTATCTGGCAGAGAAAAAATGAGTTAGATATCATCCTCGCTACAATGGGGAGTATAGTCTATTAAGAAAGAGGTAAAAGAAAAACAAGGCTTTTACTAAAACAACAATTCAAGGCTAAGTACACTGAGAGATGTGTCAATCAATCACTACGGAGTATAAGTTGAAAGAATGACTTTGCTAAGCATATTTTATCGCTTTCTGACCTAACTTGGTGGCAGATAACAGTGTGTCAGAATGGTAACTAAGTCAAGAGTTGGACTCTACTAGCTGTTCTGAAAGAGAAGAAGGGGCAATCTTCTCCTGTATAGATTTACAGAAACCTGAGGGAGGGTCTGATATGAGAGGGATTTGATTCAATAGCCATGCCAATGATTTTTACTGTCCTAAGGACTTTTCCCAAATCTTGGTTTAGCCATGGACTGTCAAAAGAACAAACGTGTCTTGAAGAAAGTGCAACCAGTCTGCCTCTTTAAGGCAAAGATGGGGACAGTGCATCTCACTTATTTTGAGCATATTCTCAGGAGGAACCAGTCCTTGGAGAGACATCATGTTGGGAAAGGTGGAGGAAAAAAGAAAGGAAGGAAGGAAGGAAAGAAGGAAGGAAGAAAGACCCTCAACAAGATGGAGTGACACAGTCACTTTAACAATGGGCCTGAGCATGACAGAGATTGTGAGAATGGCACAGGACAGGGCGAGATTCAGATCTGTTGTTCAAAGCTGGCTATGACGGGGAAGGAGGGACAATCTCCTCCTGTACCAGTCAGATTTGATTTGACGGTACACTCACACAAAAATAATAAAGTAAAAAAAAATTAAAAAAAAAGCTGGCCATGAGTTGCAGTCAACTAACAACAATAAAATGGTCTCAGTTTAGTTTATGTTGTTTGACCATGTTGATAGTAACAGGTGGCCAAGAAGTTGCTAAAAAAGGGAAAAGTGTCATATGCTGGTCAATAATTCCTGAAGTTTTATAATAAAGTTTGCAAATACATGGGGGCTATCTCTCAGCAGACAAGGAATACACACCACTCCAATTGCCTCAGGATTTCTATGAGAGGACTGTCTCCAAAAAACACAGAATAGACTTTTAAAGGCAGCTGTCATCACCAGAGCCCCCAGTCCTTTGGTGGTCCCTTTCCTAAGACAACACATGGTTGATAAAAGGCAAGAGCCCCAGGATAGCTCACTGTCTTAAAAGAACTTTCCCCACCTAGCACCCCACCATGGGAGGGGGACTGAATTTGTGAGTGATGTCTTGACTGCACTCCTGCAATCAAGAATCCTAAGAGAAAAATGCTGGCATCCAACAATGGGCCCTCCAAATGCAGCATCTACAAGATGTTAAAATTTTCTGTACAAGACTGAAAGAGCGTGCTAAATCAGGGGCTCCTGACCAAGACAATGTATTAGTTCTAAACCTGAAAGCTAAACCAAGTACTTAACAGTAAAGTTATTGTCCTTAGGGCAATAAATAAGAGTTTTTAAAAGCAATTTTGAAACAAAAAGGACTCAGAAACTCAAACTTGTCAAAAGTCAGAGTCAATGTTATTGCTGTTGAATTGGATCTCACTCCTAGCTGACTCTTCTGTGGGTTTTTAGGACACTGTACTTTGCATGGGAGGAAATTGTCAAAGATGTTGTCTTTGGGTGATTAGTAAAACTCCCTCTAGATGGTGCCACCAGAGCTTCTAAAGCAGGAGAAGAGCAAGGAATTGTTCATTGTATCTACCTGCAGAGTGGAACAACATCAGTGTCTTTTCCCCTGGTTGTGACTATTAAGTGTTAGCTGGTAGTCGTATCCAGTTGACTATATGGATAGGCATGGCTTACACATAGCAAAGGACCACTTATTTCCAGGTCCCCACCACAGACATGAGAATTTCTTTTTCAGTTACCTTGAATTACTTCTGCTGTTTTCTGGATCATAGTCTTCACCTTCCCAACAATAATGGTAATGAACAATATTTGGATGATTGAGGTCTGCTAAGGCTTTTACTTCACGCTCTACCTTCCTATTTAAGAAAAATAGGGAAAATTATCAGCACAAACCCATGAAAACATCTACAAAAGTATCTCCAATCAGCCATCTCTACTTATTAAACATTTCCCACAGTTTCTATATCTTGAGTGTTGGGACTTGCAAGAAGAAAAAACTGGCCTTTGAAAGGAGCTTAAAGCCCAAAGGGGAAGCCAGGTAAACAGAAAAGAAAAAAGTGAACATAAGGAAAAAGCATAGCTTTTCTCCCTTTCAACATTAAAGAAAAAGCAGTGATTTGTATAGTTCAAAGCATAAAATTTAAAAACCATGCAAAGTAGGATTAGAAATTCCAGAGATAACGCATTATGGGTATAAATGCAGGTATAGATGGATGTACATTCCTATCATTGGATCTCAGTCTCTAAATCTGTAAATGAGATGAGATTAAATAATTTCAAAGGTGACTTTCAGCTACATGATTCTGTTATTTCAAGTCCCCAAAACAGTCTCAGGAAAATGATCAATACTAGGTTTACTTTCTACTGAAATAACCAGATTACAATGAGATCATTTCAAGGTATGTCAAGTTCCTGATGATAAAACAAAAAAAGCAGGACATGAAAGGGAAAAATGAAAATCTAGGAGGACTATAAAGGAAAAAAATATGTTAAAATAGAGAAGAGATAAATACAAAGAGAATAGTGCTGGTACAACACACCTTCTCATTTTTAAAAAAGAGCATTTACTACTTACGCATGATCATATTTAACACGTTTAATAGCATACATCTTCTTATCAATTCGGTGCTTTGCTTTGAAAACGTGGCCAAATCCACCTTTGCCAAGTCGATCTATGTCTTCAAAGTCCTGAATAAACCTTAGAAGAACAGCATCATGTGTTATTCTAGGTACAAATCTCATCACCATATGTTAATCTCCCTTTCTCAACAATGAGTGCCCACACCATAGAAACCCTTGGACCACAAAAGACTGAAGATTCACCTCTCACATAACAGATTACCTATAGGAATCATTGTCAACACCTGGTTTTATAAAAGCCATGGTAAAGTATCTTACTACCAGTAGGAAACTTTAGAAAGTATAGCCCTGGTGGAATGCATAGCTAAATATGTATATGTTCTAAGACTGCCTAGGTTACAGCTATTCTGTTTCCTCTTTCCCAGATATTCTATATTCCATTATGAAGTCTTCTCAACTCTGCTAATAAGTATCTCTCTGCGATTTCTCCACTCTTCTCCATTTCCAACATTTTCATATCAGTCTAGGCTTCTACCACCTCCTACAGTACCTTCCTAACTGGACACTCCACTTCCTCTCCTACTGTCACTCCAATCCACGCTCCATAAGCCAATCAGAGTGCTACAACTTAGGCTCACCATGCCATTCTGTGTCTAATCCCTCCTAAGGTTTGCTTTGCATTTAAGGGGCGAGGAAAGGATCCCTTTAAGGGATCTTTTAATTTAAGGGTTCCTGTCCCCTCCACTTAAATGCCCTACAAGGTGCCACATGACTTAGGCCAAGACTCCTGATGATGCGTCTTGCTCACTGCTCTCCCAGCCCACAGCTTGTGCTCTGCCTCTTGGAACCACCACAGCCACTTTTCCCACCTTGATCCTTCCCACATGATCTCCCTTTCACCTAGCATGCAATCTCCCCACCTTCCTGCACTAACTTTGTCTCCAGGGCCCCCAACAAATGTGACCTCAGAGAGCCTTACCTCAGCCTTCGCATGAAACATTATTACTTTTACATCATCTTATCATTTCCGTTGCAGGCTAGATCATCATAGTAATTACTAACTTACCTACGTAATTGATTCCTTTTTTTTGCTTTTAT